AGTTCTCAACGGGCATCTCAGTTCAGGATTTCTCTAAGACTTCCATCTATTTTTTAGCCATTGCTCAAGTTCACTTGAAAGACAAAAAGGCATCAAAATGTTAGGGCTTGATTCTAGAAGGAAACAATGCATCCTTTAAATTAGTCCCAGGGACCAGGGGAGCAGGTATACCTCTCTGGAATCTGTCAATCTCCTGCAGCTTGTGCTCAGAGAAAGTGTTTGGAGAAAATCAGGCTTGATAGCATCTGATCTATGGCGATGCAGGAGCAGCAGTGATCTCTCTCAGGGTCATTTTGTCTTAGGAAGGTCCTACATTCATCTCATTCTGCAAGAATTCATTCAGCATTCCTCATGTGCCAGGTGTTACATCGTGTACCAGGGATAAAGTTGGAGATGCTTGCAGTCCTGAATTAATTTCTAAATTTTTGTTGCCCCTGGAATTTTCCACCTCTCAGAAACTTTCTTGGGCTGAGGACTAGGCATACGAATCACCTTAAATATGATCATCATCACTATCATCATCACTATCCAGACTCTTGAGATTTTGAAAGATAAATTGTGAGCATTTAGAGAACCAGCCTGGCCCCATGCTCTGAGCTTATCTGTGGGAACAGCGTTTTCTCATGGCTGAGCTCCTATTTCAAAACCGTGTGTGTGTATGTGTTTGTGTGTGTGTGTATGTATTTGTGTGTGTGTGTGTGTGTGTGTGTAGTAATGGGGATAGAACCCAGGGCCTTGTGCATGCTAGGCCAGTTCTTTACCACTGAGCTACATCTCTAGCCCTTTTTTGTTGTTTTTAAATTTTTTTTATAGTTGTAGATCAACAGCATGCCTTTATTTTATTTATTTTATTTATGTGGTGCTGAGGATGGAACCCAGTGCCTCACACTTACTAGCAAGTGCTCTGCCACTGAGCTACAGCCCCTCCTGTTTTTAATTTTTTTTTAATTTAATTTTGAGACATGGTCTTGCTAAGTTGCTGAGTCTGATGACAAACTTACAATCTTACTGCCTCATCTCCCAAATTGCTGGAACTATAGGCATGTGCCACGGTGCCCAACATCCAGAAACTTCTTAAGCAACAGTTCAGTGATTCTGAAAAGGGAATGATCTAAGCACTGGGTCTCCCTTCCATGTCCTCTTTTCTCTACTTAGAGAGAGAAGTGTGCAAATAGAAGACTGATGAGGATTCCATGTGTGCCTTGAAGCTTCAGGCCTGACCCTTAAGGCCCTGCAGTCGGGCTTATGAAGGACATAATAAAATTTGAAAAGCAAAGGAAAACCCTAGGAAGGCCACGAGAATGCCAAAGATAAGCTCTTAGTCATGTAGGTTTGGATGGCTTTAGCTTTTTGATATTATAGGATAACTTGTTAGAAAATTTTCCACTCTGACATTTAAAACTATGAGAGACCTCTGGTGGCTGAAATAATTATTCTTAAGACTCTTTGCTCTGTATCTCAGGAGTGCATCATGCACTCTCAGTTTTGTCTTGATTTTGGATTCTCTGACACCTCTGGCAGGGCAGGGCAGAATGGGAGGGAACCCTGCTGTCCTTTGGGCATGTGTCCCTGCCTCTCTGAATACTGATCTTAGAGCTCAGTCCTGATCCCAATGCTCCCTTGAGTGTGAATTGCTCTGAGCCTGACCTCCTGGAAGCTTTCCTTCCTCTTTTGCTCTTTCCAGAACACCTTCCTTAGTTCTGACCCCATTCCCTCCACCCCCCAAAGTCCTTCTGATGAGTCCCTCTGTTCCTATGCTAAAGAAATATGCTCTCCAGGAAGGTGTGTTATTTGACATCACAAAGTTGGCCTTTGACAATAGGCTAGTATGTCATAGTGCAACAAGAATTGATTTTAATGTACTTACTACCATATTGAGATTGTTTCCTTGGAAACAAATGGGCTAACTTTATTCATCACAAGCAAGCTCTAAACAGGATTGTTTTACATCACCTGCCTTTCCTAACAGTGCCAATCACACACAGTGGGTCAACTATGTATTGCTTGCTTCAACTACTTACATTTGGAAACTGAGTCCAGAACCTGTACTAAAGATCCTTTGTGATTCTTTTTTTTTTCCCTTGACTTTTCTTTTCTTTCCTCCTCTCCTCCTCTTCCGTCCCCTCCCCTCTCCCTCTTTTCCTTTCTGACAGGCTCTTGCTAAGTTACCCATGCTGGCTTAAACTCACAGGTTGAAGGGATCCTCCTGCCTCAGCCTCCCAAGTTGCTGGGACTACAGGTGATTCTTAATTATAGACTCAGACCAGAAGAACCTTGCATTGCCTTTGCAAACAAATAGCCCATTTCCACCCAGTTTGACTTATTTTGATTGGCCTAGACCCTTCCACAGTTCTGAATTCCCAGCTCAGCTCTCACTCTGTGTGTTTGCCCACATTTTCCAAATCTTACCTCACTGATTTTTATCTTTTTCAACGTTTGAAGAACCATTTAATCTCTTTTCCTCTGTGAGTTTCTTTGAGTTGTGTAAGGATATGTCAGACACAGCAGACAAATGCTGAAGGACCTGCCTGGGCCAGGACACTGGCCAAGGTCCCTATCATTTTATGACTGTCGTCTGATGAAGACACAGAATGTTCCTCTGTGTGCTCAGCGGGCATCTGGTCTTGTTATTCATTGTGCAGAGCCCACTTTCCTTAAGTGAACCTTCGTTAGCCTGGTCTCATTTATAAAATGCTCTGGTGGCAAATGAGCTCATCGAGTAGTCATTGCCCCACGGGACACTAATGTACCCTTACCGATCCTGCCACATGGGGAGGCTGTGGCGGAGCAGGCTAACACGTGGACCGTTTTCCACGCCAACACCCAAGAAAAGTCTCCTCTCCCTGCCCCGGGGGGTTGCTGCCATCTCACGGCTTGGCTGGGCTCCTGGCAGCCAGGCCTCAATGTGGCCCATGCATGTGACACTCTGAACCAACTCTGCCCATGAGGAATGTTGCACCAGGCTTGGTGGCCAGCTCTGGCTGGGATCTATCTGGCAACTGTGCACCAACCACAACAATACGACAGTTTTCCAGTTTGAAAATAGTAACCCTCTCATCCTGTGGCAGTGACCCAGAGCGTGGCGAGTTCACACTCTCCAGATGTGGTCGGCTTTCCCAGAGGTACCCACCAGACGTGTTGGGCAGGTTAAGCCAAACCCAAGGCTTGGACCTGAGGTTCCTGTTTCTTTTGGCAACAGCCATTCGATTTCTGCGAGTCAACATTCTCAGGGTCTTAGAGGAGGGCTGTGGTTCATTGCACTCCGCAGGGCTCAGGCTTCTCTGAAACTGGAAAGGTGAGTTCATTAAAGGACGTGGGATTTTTCCACCTGCCCTCCATTGCCATAATCTGCCTGTGACTGATGGGGCTGGGCCTGACCCTGCCTCTCTCAGGCAGAATGCAGCAGCTGTCAGAGGTGCCCATCAGCATGGAAAAACTGAGGGCCATGACTAGGAGGCAGAGTTGCCCTTGAGGGGGCTCTTCCACCTCTGACAGTGGAGTCTTAGCTTTCTAGCCAGTGCTGTTGTCTCCGAGAGGAATGTTGAGCTTTGGAAATGCTTGGCTTAAAACAGCATTACTTGCTGATGTGTAGGGGTCATATTTTGCTGCTCTGGTACAGAAGGTAACATGTGGTCCAGCTGCTGAGAGGCAGGGGAAGTTCTCGTGGGGGCGTCGCTGTCGGGCAGCACCGTCAGTTGACTCTGTTTGGGCTGCTTGGTTGACAGTAAGCCAACGACAGAGGCGCAGCTGGCCTTGGAACCAAGGATGCTTCATTGTTTACATCTCTGAAGAGCCTTGTGCTGGGGAAATCAGGACGTGTTCTGGAACAGCAGAGGGTGCAAAGCCTTTGGTTTCTGTCCGACCATAACCACGTCCTGCCAAAGAGAAGAGACTCTTTAATCTTCTTTTCCTTGGGTTGCCGTGAAGTCTTGGGGTTTCTTGGACATTTGTTAAGAATTTGAAATATCTCAAGAATCATGTTTAAGTTCCATAGGAATCAATGACACTTCTGTTCCTTTCCTAATTGCCGGCATGGATCTTCTCCCCCAGGGTTTGAGATTTGTCCTGATAATGTTCACAACCTCCAACCACAAGCAGTATGTTCTGAGTATCTTCCGTGTGCCTGACACCATGCACAAATAAAATATTCTTTAATTTTGAATGTGCCTGTAGGCTGGTGAGGTGGGGCTAGCAGAGGGATAAATGGTTACATCTACACCCTCCCGCTTCACTAAGCCTTCTGGTCAGCTTTTGAGCATGCTCCTATCTGTTTAATACTGAGAAAGAGAAGAAAAGTACAGAAAAGAAAAACCCTTCCATTGAGCTCATGTCACTCACAGGCAGCTTCTCTTTCCTCTTTATTCACAAACAGGTTTTTCAAAGCAGTTGTCTGTGCTCCTGGACATTTGCCACTTGGCCCTTAACTCAGTCTCACTTAGATTGAGCCCTGGGATTCACCAAAAAGGGTCTTCCCAGGTTCCAATGGCCTTGTCTTGATAAAGGTGACTTTGGGCCCTCATCGACTTTGACTTTTGAGCTACCTGCGACTCTGCCGACCACACCCGCCTTCTAGAAATGTTCTCTTCTGGCTTTTAGCTCCAGCTTCATTGTCTCCTTTGCAGGACTCTGTCCTCCAGCTAGCTTCCCAGAGTCAGGGCTGGTCCTTGACACCTTCTCACCATAGTCTCTATGGAGTCCCCTCCAGCTGCTGCCCACGCTTTCACCTGGGCTCCCTCTGTGCACCTGCAACTCCCCCCGCCCCCGCCTCAGTACATCTCGGACAGAGCTCATGATATTCTTCCTAGCCATGGTTCTCTCCTGGTTTTTCGTTTCTCTCTCTTCCATCCGGTCATGCAAGCTAGAAACCCAGGTATTATACCCCCCCTCCTTCCCTTCAGCTCCTGCTTGCATGCGCCACTAGGGCTTATCCACTAAATCTTTTCTGTTTCTTTCTCCATCTCTGCACCCACCCTCCTGTGTCCTGTCCACACTGCTACCAGTCAAAGTGATTGCTTCAAAACAAAAATCTGCTCGGCACCTTTTAGAAACTGTGAAGGCTTGGAAATCTCCAGAACCTGGGATGCTTGGAGAAACAGGGGAGTTGGAGAGACTCAGAGGTAGGTTGGATGCCGCCATAATCCATATATATTGTGCCCAGAGTGTAAATACAGAAGTTACAGCTGGGCATGGTGGCACTCACCTGTAATGCCAGCAGCTCGGGAAGCTGAGGCAGGAGGATCACGAGTTCAAAGCCAGCCTCGAGCCAGCAGTGAGCCCCTAAGCAACTCATTGAGATCCTGTCTCTAAATAAAATATAAAAAACAGGAGTGGAGATGTGGCTCAGTGGTTAAGCACCCCTAGGTTCAATCGCTGGTACCAAAATGTAGATAGGTAGATAGATAGATGATAGATAGATGATAGATAGATAGATAGAGTTGTATTTAAGGTGATAAGGAGCCACTGCAGGATTTTAAGCAAAAGTGTTAGCTCACATTTTAGAAAACACAGTGGAGGAAGCCACAGAGAAGTGGACCTGGGGTGTGTCCAGTGCCAGGAGTTGACTGTCAGGTGGATTGGGACTGACGGATAAACCTGAGCTCCTGGAGCAGGCACTTGGAACCCCCTGACCCCAAGGCTCGTGGCCCCCCTCCACCCAGCCACCTACTACCCACACAGCAAGCCCAGCAGGACGCCCCTTGCACTTTCCAGTTTCTCTCTCACTTATTTCCAGATACCCTCCCTCTGGCTGCCTGCTGACTCTAGGCCTCCTCACAGATTGACCTCAGAACTCCTGCGAATCCTCCTCTCCCAGAGCCCCCCCACCTCCCCCATCTCAAAACCTGCACTTGACCCAGGACTGTCCCAGCTCCCCAGCTCTCCCCCCTCTCCCAGAGGTAATATGTAGCAGCCAAATGTGGGCAGTGGAGGAGCTGGAGAGCTCATCTAGGCCACTGCCCTGTCCTAAAAGAAGAAAACCAAGAAGAGACCCAGAGTGACATAGGGATCCCTGATGAAAAGAGCCAGACTTTTATGGATAGGACTGCTGCACATTTTTTACTATTCTGCACCCTGCATCACCTTAAGCCTCTATCGTCTGTGTTGTTTTACATTTTTATCATTTAATCCTGACTGGGCTAGACTGGAGAGGAGGTACAGTCTAGTGGGTCAAACAAATATCATTTAAATTCCAGCCCTATCACCTGCCTGCTGTGTGATTTTGGATAGCTTACTGGGTCTCTCTGTGTCTCATTTTCCACATATGCAAAAGTTAGGTCATGTAACTGCTGCATGGGTTATTAGGAGGAATGAGATCATTGGTATCAAGTGTTTCCAGGAACACCTGACTGTTTAGCTTTCTGCCACTATGACAATATACCTGAGAATGAAGTTAAGCAGAGGAAAGGTTTATTTTGGCACAATTTCAGGGACTTCAGTGTCTGGTCAGTTGGTCCTGTTGTTTGGGGGCACGTGATGAGACAGCATATCATACAGGGGAGCACATGGTAGAGCAGAGCTCCTCACGCCATGGGGCCAGGAAGCAAAGAGGGAAAGGAGGGGCTGGGGTCCTAAATCCCCTTCACAGACACAACCCCATGACCTACCTTCCTCCCACTAGGCCCCACCTCCTCAAGCCTCCACCATCTCCCAATAGAGCCACCCAGGAGCCAGCGTTCAGCACCTAGGCCTCTTGGCGACATTCAGGATCCAAATATTTTTCATGTTTCATAAAGTTGTACTATTAGGAAGAGATTTTAATGGTTTAATGGAATTAGAAGTTCCCTCAGCAAAGTAAACTGTACATTTCTCTATTGCATATTTGCAAAGCATTTCCCCAACCCTGTGAGATAGGTGCTACCCCCTATTGACCAGTGAGGACACTGGGCCGCTGCTCAGAGCAGCAAGCAGGTGGGTGAGAGCGCACAGTGCCACCATTAAAAACACTGACTGGGCACAGTGGCACGTGCCTGTAATCCCAGAAGCTTGGGAGGTTGAGGTGGGAGGTTCGTGAGTTCCAAGCCAGCCTCAGCAAAAAAAACGAGTCGCTGAGCAACTCAGTGAGATCCTGTCTCCAAATAAAATAAAAAATAGGGCTGGGGATGTGGCTCAGTGGCCAAGTGCCCTGAGTTCAATCCCGGGGGGGGCGGGGGGGGGAGAGAAAGAGAGAGAGAGAGAGAGAGAGAGAGATCCATCTCTAAATAAAATACAAAAAAAAGGACTGGGGTTGTGATTCAGTATTTGAATGCCTCTGAATTTAATCCACAGTACCCCACCCCCCAAAAAATTTTAAGAAAACAATACTCTGATCTGCAGTCCCAGAGCCTCAGGGCAGTGATGGGAAGGGAGTAAGCTGAGCAAGGGAGGCTCTTGGCTGGCGAGTCGGGTTGTTGAAGCCACTGCGTGCAGGGTTCTCCTGCAGGAGGAACCGCCCTCACCTGGCTAGTTCTATCATCACTTCCCTTTAGCCAGATGATACTGTGCTCACAGGCTCAGGGAACCCGTGGTGAGAAGAACAAAGCTACCAGAGCCACCTGTCCTCCCCCAAGGTTGATATAGTTGCTGCCGAGGAACTGCAGCTGCTGACCCCAGGCCTGTGTGGGACCTGGGAGCTTGTCCTGTGCCCTGGGCATTTCAGGAATCCCAGTTCTTTTATCTTTCTGGAAGCAAGGCCCGTGCATGGAGGGAAAGGTAGAATAGTGGGATGGGCACGTTCTCACAGGAACAAGACTGGGTGACACAGGCCAGGCAAGGACATGGGAGGGGCTGTTATGTAACTGCAGCCTGCTTGTCAACGGAGAACCAGGAATAGCGCAGCTCAGGAGGGATTTCCCCTTCCTGTTCAAAGCAGCAGACGGAGGCCATCTCCCCTGGAAGCCTGGGGATCTGTCTGGCCACCGAAAGCCCAGCCTGCCCCTAGGTCAGGTGCTCCTGCAGGGTGGCCTGCAGCCTCACATAATGTCAGTGGCTGGGGCCTGCCATACTCTCCCTTCCTCAGGCGCAATCACCGGGCTGTGATTCTGGCTCTGAGCATTGCAGGGCCCCAGAGTGACAGGCACTGTGACTGAAGCACACAGAGCTGCTGATCTGGTTCCTGTCCCTCTGATGACAGTTGTTGGAGAGTTCCAGAAGCCGCACCCAAGGCCTCACCCAGAGAGGTCTAGAACACATGTGAGACCTGACATGAACACACAGGGAAATCACCCCAGATGGGCCAAAGCCTCCAGCACACGCCCTTCAATTTCTTTAGCCACTTCCTGTTGACACCCCCGCCTGTTCTGAGAAGAGGGAAAATGGGGAGAGGGGACATGGAGGGGGAGAGACCTCCATAGGGACTCCAGGGGAGAGGAGAAACTGCCAGGAAGAAGAAGTGGGAGTGGCAGAGACATCTGTGGTGGGCGTAGGAGAGAGAAGGGACAGGTCCAGGAGGGGAGAGAAAGGACGGGCCCTTCCTGTCTTGGGGGCTGAGCTGTCCTCTCCTCCTCAGCCTTCCAGTCAGAAAGGACTCCCCAGGGAGAGAGGCCGCCCTGAGGGAAGCTGGGAAACCACAGTGCATTCCACAGCTAGATGGGAACGTGTTTTGAACCAGCTGTTTAGAGGTGATTTGTACCCCAACGGGCCATCGGCCATCGGGCCATCGTCTGCCTGGTTGTGACCCTTGTTCCTGAGTTAAGGACGAAAGACGATGCCAGCAGCTCAGTTCTGCCCAGTCCACGCTGGCTCCCTCCTCCTCCAGGCCCTCTGCCCTCCAGCTGGTCCGGTCACCACGGCCACTTTGGGCCTCATCAGACATGGAGTCGAGCATGAGGTTGAGGCAGAGCAGGGGTTTCGTTCCTGGGTTGGGAGTGAGAGCCACTTGCATCCTGCCTCAGGGGCCAGGCTGAAGGCCAGGCTTACTTCCCTTCCCAACTGATCCCAAGTTGTATTCCACTGGGGACTTCCTGCAGCATGTGGAGGAAGGACAGCAGGGAGCTCCTTCAGTGGGGTCTGGGAGTCTTTGCCCTCCCCACCCAGGCTCTGGGGGACTGACCCAGCAGCTCCTTCAGACCCTGGTGTTCTGAAGGAGGGGCTTACACAGAAATGCACACCCGCACCAGATGCGGTGGCTCATGCCTGTATTCCAGCAGCTCAGGAGGCTGAGGTAGGAGGATGGCAAGTTCAAAGCCAGCCTCAGCAAAAGTGAGGTGCAGGGTTGGAGACATAGCTCAGTTGGTAGAGTGCTTGCCTCGCATGCACAAGGCCTGGGTTCAATCCCCAGCACCAGTGAGACCGTGTCTCTAAATAAAATATAAGGACTGGGGATGTGGCTCAGTGGTTAAACAGCCCTGGGTTCAATCCCTGGTACAAAAAAAAAAAATGCACACCACTGTCCCTGAGAGCATGGTGGGGAGGACTCCTCAGCAACGCCTTCAGCCCTCAGCCCTTTGTTTCCCTTCCCCCTTGACTCCCTCCCCTGCCTTTGAGGCAGTGCCATCCCCTGTAGGATCGACTATCCCCGTCACTGACCTCCTGGTCACCCCTCCATACCTGCCTCATGCACTTCCTACTCTGCGCCCTTCCTACTCCGCGTGGGCACCGTGCCTTTCCATGTGGACAGGGGTCTCTGAGTCCCATGTCCAGATCTGGGATGTCACAGGGATTCCGGCTCCCATTTCCTGGGTGCCCATGTGCCAGAGGTGATGCCAGGAGCCTTGCTGAACAGTGCTGATATTTCTCATGACATTGCCACAAAGAGAGGGAATGGATCATCAGAGAGGTGCAGGGACTTTCCCAGGGGGACAGCAAATGGTAGAGGAAGATTTAACTTTGGTTCCAGCCCACACCCCTCAGCTCCTCAGGAGCTGATCACCAGTTAGACTAAGTGCCTCCATCAGACCCGGGCCCCAGCATCTCTCTCTGGCACAGTCTCCCGTTCCTCTCTGCTACTCTCTTCAGCCCTCCATTTCCCCCGAGAACTTCCTCCTGAATCTTTCTCTTCTGTCAGAAGAATGCTGCAATCTATCCTGTCTGCAAAATCCTCCATCTCTCTTCCCCAAGCCTTCCCGCCCAACACAGCCAGCCAGCCTGCCTGCGGAAGTGGCCACCTGCTCACCTCCCTGCAGGCTGGACGCTGCCCTCAGCCTCCACTGGCACCCCCCACCAGTGTGTGGCAAGAACTGCAGCCGCTGCGGGATTTGCCCTCCTTGACCTCTGCAGAGCATTAATGTTGGGCTTCCTCTCCAGCCTCCTTTGGCTTCCAGGCCACTGGTTCCCCCTCCTCTGGCCCAGGCCTCTTCTGAATAGCCGGCATTCTACTTTATAAAAGAGGCGAAGAGGCCTGGCCCACTGCCCACACAAGCACTGTTTTGCTGATAGAAAGCTGCTGAACTCCGCAGAGCTGAAATTCCGTATAAATAGGCACATTTACAACTTCCTGTCCATTTAGCTATCCATCATTCGAACAAAGGTAGTGTTAATAACAACTTGCACGTGTAGCGCGGTTCACAGTCTACACAGAGCTCTGGCGTGGCCTTCAATATCCCCATCTGTGTGGTGAAAATATTTTTATGTCTGTTCCATATTAAGCAAGCAGTGTTAAATTCGTTTCACTGCCCAGAAATTAGCATTAGAAATTGGCTTTGTTTTGAAGAAGAGTCTTTACTTAGGTCCTCTGGGCATTGTCAGTCCCCGTGGCTGGTGATTTATAGGTTATTGATCCTTGGGACAGGAACAAATGACCTTGTCATTTTAGTAATGGTTTCTACCAGAAAGATCTTTTACCAGAAGATCTGGCAAATCTCTGAGCATGCAGAGGTGGGGAAAGGCAGGTGGAAGTCCAACTGCAGGAATCAAGTCATATGGGTCAGAATAAAAAGATCTAGTTTTTGACACTCTGTGTGAGTTACACTTTCTAAATGAGACTTAGAAGATTTAAGCCAAAATGGCAAGTAGTTGTCTTGTGTACCCGCTCCTTAACTCCTGAGTGTTACTGTGTTAAGGAAGATTCTGAGGCTAAGCCTAGGCTCCCTGGAAAAGAACCCTGTTACAAGATGACAATGTCAGACGCAAGTGTGAAGGAGGACATAGTGGCACGTGCCACATCTTTCTTTGCCATGGCTGCTTTAAACTTTTTATTTTTTCAGTGCTTGGGATGGAATCCAGGGCTTTGAGCATACTAGGCAAGCCCCCTAACACTGAGCCACAGCCACAGCCCCTAAGTGTCTTTGAAAGGCAATGACAAACCAAACTAGAGTTGTTCAAAGAGTCAGTACAACGGGCAAGAATTCTGTGGCTTTAGTGGGTTCCCACGTATGGACCTTGGACCTTCTTCTGGTCTGGTACTTTCCTTCAGAGTCATCAAGAAGCCAGAAAGCCACGTGGATGAGGATTTTTGTACACCCCTCAGCTGCCCCCATCTTCTGACCCCCACCAAAGGGGCTGGGCTGTTCATGTTGTGTTTAGCCCATAGCTTCTCTGCACCCCCTTGCTCTCCTGCCCCATCCTCGCTGAGCTCAGGTTGAGGAAGCTTTCATCTCCGGGGGTGACCTCCCATGAGTCCCCAGCTCCCCCTCAACCCTGCCCCTGACTCCTAACTCCTCTTGTCTTGAACCCTAGAGCTAGGGCCCACTTAGCACGTTGACCTTGGTTGGACTGTGAGTCCCATGAGGTATCAGACTTGCCCCTAACAATGGGGCTTCTTTGCTGCTCCACCATCATGGGGTCAGGAGAGGTACAGAGTCACAGGAGTGTGTCCCTCTGCGGTAGCAGTCCTTCTCATCCAGATAGTCCGTCCCAGAGAAGCAGGTCTTCCCTCACTACTGCACCCCAAATCCAAACCCTTCTACAGTGATCCCTGCCTCCCCTTCACATCTCCACACTTGAGAGTATTGTGTCAGATTCTATTTGCATAAATTTATATTGCTGCCAGAATCAAGGTTGAAAAAAAAAAAAAAAAGGTTGTAAATATGGCCCTGAGTGTGCCTCTTACTTCTTCAAGTTTTCCTTTCTGGGATGAGGTACTGCACAAGCCGTTGGAAAGTGCCAGAGCCACAGAAAAACTTACCCTGGAGTGACCCCGGATGAAAACTCACTTTGAAAAAGCATTATTTTTCAAACACAGGTTGATGGATGGGTAGATATGTGATAAGCAACACATGCGTGCCTGAGAGAGAGTCTGGGTGTATGGAAGTTCATTGCATGATCCTTTGCTGAAGGTTTGGAAATTTCCATAGTGAAATGTTAGTGGGGGGTGGTTGCCCCAGACAGTGAACCATTTTAATTTAAACCAGGCTCCTGACCAGTGTGGTCCCGAGGCCAGAGCGTGGGGGAGCTGTGCAGAGATTGCATCCATTCCATCTGGGAAGACTTCCTGTGGGGCTTTCTGCTACCCCGGCCCCAGACCGGTGCTGGCCACACTCTGGTGTGGTGAGGGCGGGGCAGTCCTTAAACCCATGCCCAAGTCCGTGGCCTTATGCTACTTGCTGTCCCTCCCTATTTGTAACCCTGGAGCAGCAGGGCGCTGTGCCCTCCTGTGGCATCCACATCCCACGCCAGCTGCATGCCTCAGCCTCCTCCTGGCCTGGCGTCTTCACAAAGGCCCCGCGTCTTCCCCTCCAAGGGCCCTTGCCATATGCCGCAGCTCTGCTGTGAAATGTGCTGAAGCTCAGAACTGCCTGGGTGAGTGGAGAGGCCGTGCTGCGTGGGAGGGTTGGGAGGCCTGGCCTCTCCAGTCTCCCTGTCCCTTGCAGGTCGTGGACACTACAGGTCACACAGAACCGGGGAAGCAGGGCCAGGAAGTTAAGTAGCCAGTGAAGAGGCTCTGGGGTCAGGTCGTGACCTAGGTTACGGTCACACTCAGTTCACACTGTCTAGTGGTCACAGGGAGGTTCCTGGGAGGATGACAGTGTCCATGTTTTTCTCTGTCCAGCACACACACTGCCACAGTCATCCACTCTCACATCTCACACACAGTCTTCTGAGCCATGATGCCCCTGCCCTAGACTCCTGCAGAACTCCAAAGCAATGCCCAACGCCCTGTGGGCAGAGGACAGGGCCACCCCCAACCCCCAGAGAGGGAGAGCCCACTGGCCACTGTAGGCTCTCGTCGTGGCCAGGGCCTGCTCATAGGAGGCGGCAGAGCCTGGAGTTGAAGCCTTGGGCTATATGCCACTACTATACGACCTTCAACAAGCTGCTTTGTCTTTCTGCCTCTGTTTCATGGCTCATCAAATGAGGATAAGAAGGACAAAACCTACCTCATCCGGTTATTGTAAGAACCAGCAGAGTTGAAAGCCTGGCAAACGGTTCCTAACCTGAGGTCTTAGGGCACTAGTTAGTGCTGCTGTCTCTGCTCTCAGCGTCTGCTCCTCCTCCTTCCGGGGCTGCAGGTCACAAGGGCCAAAACAAGGAGTCAGCATCTAGGGCTGAGGGAGGACCACTGTGAAGTTTGGTCGTGGCTGTAACAAATTAACATTTAGTGACCTGAAGCAACACGGACTGATTTGCTTGAGGTTCTGGGGGTCAGAAGTCTGCAGTCATTGTCATGGGCTGGTCTCAAGGTGTCTGCAGGGCCGCACTCCCTCCCGAGGCTCAGGGAGAATGCACTCCTTGTTTTTCTGGCTTTCTAGAGCAGCATTCTTTGCCTTCCTTGGCTCATGGCCTTTTGTTCTGTGGTCATCCAAGCTAGCCACGGAGCATCTTGCATCTGGTCTCTCACAGCCACCACCTTCTGTAGTTGGACCTCCTTTGCTCTTTCTCATAAGAACATTGCAACTGCATTTAGGGCTGCCTAGACAAAGCAGAGGATTCCTCATCTCAAAATCCTTGATGTAAGCTTATCTGCCAAACTTCATCTTGTATCATTCATAGGTTCTGGAGATTAAGGTGTAGACATATTTGGGGACCATGACTCATATAACAACTGAGTCAGAAAGCTTTCCTGAGTCCTGATCCTGTGGCATGACTTGGTCAAGTTCTGACCCCTCCAGGCCCAGTATGTTATTCCATGTCAGCACCAGGCCCTCTCTGGCTCTCTCTCCTGACACTCTCCACAGGCAGTCTTGTTCTCTGTGGTATCCCTAGGCTGACACATGGCCGGTGCTGGGAAATTATGTATTCCTGCATAAAGAAGGGTAGCCCTGATGTGTCTCATGTGCTCTTTCAGGCCATGGTGAGTGTCACTGCGGAGAATGCAAGTGCCATGCAGGTTACATTGGGGACAATTGTAACTGCTCAACAGACATCAGCACGTGCCAGGCCAAGGATGGGCAGATCTGTAGCAACCGTGGGAACTGCATCTGTGGGCAATGCCAGTGCACAGAGCCCGGAGCCTTTGGGGAGACATGTGAGAAGTGTCCAACCTGCCCAGACGCTTGCAGCACCAAGAGGTAACAGCCCCGCGCTCAGCCCATGCCTGTCTTCCAGCCAGGCAGCCCTCAGGGCCAGCCAGCTGCACTCCCCACTGCCCACAAAACTCTTTCTAATAGTCACTGAAATGGTAGCTTTGAAATGCTGGTTCCATGGGTATATTGTAAGAAGAAGAAAACACACACATACACACACACACACACACACAAACAAGACTGCTATTCTGTTCCTAAACAAGTTTAAAAATTACTAGATTACCGAGTTGAATGAAATTAAACTGGTGTTGGTACTAAATGCAGTGCCTTCTCAGAGCCCTGAGTGCGCTATTGTGTGTTCTCCAAAGGAAATGCGGTATGCATCTTTTCCCAGATGAATTCCATCCTCCCCATTAACATCTCCCAACGCGGTTTCACGAACACCGTATGGGAACTGCTGCTCGAAACAAAACATAATCAGAAGGTAAATGGGATAGAAAGGCACCCGACCTAGATAAGGCATGCCAGAAACAAGCGAAATGGCTGTTGAATTTTCTGCTCCATTTATACTGATAATGGAGCGCCGGCCCTGGGCTCTGTGCTGCTGCCGAATGTAGAAATTCTCTAGATACGACTGGGCCTTCAGTGGCCCGGCCTGGCACGCTGGCCTCCCCGTGGCCCTGCCTTGACCCTACCAGAGTTCGAGGCGGGGAGTCACAGAGCTCAAGCCGTGGTGCTCCCTGGAAAGCAAGAGTGAGGTTCGCTCTTGAAACTTGCTGGTGAAGCAGCTGAAAAGCCGGGGTGGGTGGGGGGGTGAAGCAGGGACCCAGACAGATGACAGCAGCAATAACACGGACAGTGTTTCTCTGGCTGGGGAACGCAACTGGGTGGTTTTCTGCTGGCAGAACTCCCTTCCACAGGCCTGGCCCAGGCGGACATGAAGAGTTCATGCTCCCTAGGGCCGCGTGGCTGCTGGTCAGTCTGTGTTTAGAAATGATCTGGTGGCAGGGCCTTGGGCTGGATATTTGCCACAGATAAGCCCAAGTGCGGGTAATTGAAAGCTGGCTGATGGTGGAAAGGCAAGATGGACAGGGAAGGGTCTTATTTTGTTTAATTGGAGGGGTTGGGTGCGTCGGAGAGAGGGAAGCCAGATCCTCTTGAGACCTGCTGAGACTGAAGACACAGAGATCCAGATAGAAACAGACTGGGAAGGAGATTGGTGTCCTGGACTGGAGCCCAAATAGCTGTCCCCACGTGAGCTTGGAGTCACAGCCATCACAGCATGTTGTACCCAAGGGATGCGCCTCCAGCTCCCACTAGCAGAGACCTCAGGAGTGCTGCTCTCAGACCTTGGGGCGTATGAGGTTTATGCAGAGTGGGGGCCAACCCAGGGCATCACACACGACATTAATAAAAAGGAGCCCAAACTTCTACGGAGCCACAGGGCAGTACAGGATTGGCTTGGGTCTGTTAAAAGTCCTCAGGGGAAAACAGTCATCGCTTTAAATGTTGAAAGTATTTATTACCCAGAAGACATAGACTTGATGATTTATTAGCACCAAAGGGGCAAGGAGAGCAACGATGCCATAAGGAGGCATTACTGTTCCTTTGTCTTTGTCTTTAGACCACACTGATCCTCCGTTCTCTTTCACAACCTACTTGCAACTTTAAAATTTTGTTTTTAAACAAAGTTCTTTTGACAGTGACTTATATCAAGCCAGTTCTCTACTTGCTCCTTTGCTGAGGGCCATCAGGCTTTGAATGTCCTACATCCTTTTTTTTTTTTTCCCTGTGGTTTCAGGGCAACCAGTCTCCACCTTCTAAAACTAACCAAACACACCCTTCACTTTGGGTGAGTTCACCCTGGGCGCCAGCTGATTTCAATTAACAGGCTCTGAGCAAAGTTTCTCTCTCGGCAACTTGTTTTTTTAAAAAGCCAGACTTACTTTAATACATAACACAAGTTTCAGCCAGTGTGGGCAACATGAGCTAAACTGATACATCCACTTGGATAATTAGGGAGTCCTTCCTGGAGAGCACCTGGGGCTGTAGTTTAAGACAGCAGGGCAGAGAGGCCCTATAGATCCCAGCCTGACCAGAAGCAGCCATCCCGTTTGCTGTGGGTTAATCCAGGAGGCTGGCCCATTGGCCAGCGAGGCCAACTTGAATGAACAACCCTGGAGCCACCCTGCCTAGCCCCCAGCCAAGCCCCCGCTGCTTGCTGTCTAGGGCTCAGACTGTCAGAAGAAATGCAGGCTTTACGCTCAGGTTCCCAGCTCCAGAATGCTTCTGCACAGTCAGGCCTAGGAGAGTGGGATTTTTGTGAACAATTCCAGGATGATTGAATGCTCAAGCATATCATTACTCTCATTAGAAAGGCTTGGTCACTTTCTCTCCCTGATCCACTCCTTGCCCATTCCTTAATCATATCGAGGAAGTGGGAGGGGTGTGTCTGAGGCAGGACGCCTGGGTGTGGGGCCCGCTCTGCCATAAATACCATCTGGGCTTCATGTGCCTCCCCTGCAAGGGGACCTGCTGCAATGACCCACAAGCTCCCATCCTGTTCTCATGTCCCACTTTGCAGCTCCCACACTAGAAGCTTCTCCATCCCCTGGAATTAAAGAGCAGCTAATAGGGGCTTGGGTTGTGGCTCAGTGGTAGAGCGCTTGCCTATCATGCATGAGGCACTGGGTTCGATCCTCAACACCACATAAAAATAAAATAAAGAGAAGTAAATGAAGGTAAAATAAGATGTTAAAAAAAAAAGAGCAGATAATAAAGGCCACGTGCAATCTCTCCACAATCTGCCAAAGGGATCTCCAGACATGTAGCTCCCAGGGTCCCCACAGGTCTTGGGGTGAGCAGGATAGTTGTCCCTGTGTAGCTGAGGTGCTGTGAGGTCACCCTTCACTCTGGGGCCAACAGCAGTCACAGGGACACAGAGATTTGAGCCCTAACCCAGCTTCCAAAAGCACTCTCCTGGGGGCTCCCACCCGGCTTGAGGACCACCTGCGACCCCTCAGCTGAGTTGTTTGGCCTGACCTTCTCCTCCCTGGAGTTAGCTTCTCCCTGGCCTTTGTGTGCTCTGTGTGGCCCCCCAGCCCACCCTCAGAGATAGGACACGCCCACCCCAAGTGTTACACTCCTCGGCAGAAGCCTGCTTCCCAGCCTGCACCTTCAGAGGTCTGGTCTCCTTGAGGTGACCTCAGATGGAGGGAGAATGTCTGAATCAGGTTTTGACTATGTGAAGTGTGGTGACAACCACTCACCTGGGGGCATTGTCATTAAGCGTTTTCACACACTGTCTGATTCAGCTGGTATCTGGGGTGGGAGGAGAGGAATTCATAGGGCCTCTCTTTGGCTTCTCATCCTTCTTCTAAAGAAGCCCCTGTTATACCACGTGGGGTCTCCATAGCCTGGATAGACTCTAAAATAGACCAATTACCAGGTACACGTCCAGCAAGGCCCTGGGGAGCCTGGCAGGAGGGCTCCACCTAGGATGGGGAAGGAACTGGAGCCTGAAGGACTCTGAGACAGTGGTTCTCAGCCCTCCATGGGTGCCAGAATTGCCCAGGAAGCCCCAACCTCAGAGATGTGGCTTTTGTGGTGTGGTTGGGTGAGTCCAGTGTGTGGGAGGGGCCTCTTGCTTGAAGCCATCTCCTCAGCCAGGTGTTCAGCATGGCAGGGTGCAGGTGGATTTGGCTCCTGTCATCAGAATTCCAAAGTCTGTTATTGGCAAGGTGACTCCCCAGAGCAGACACAACTGTAAGCTGACCTGTGTCCCTCCACGGACCCTGGGGCTGCCCACTAACAGCAGCAAGAAGGCAGAGCAGAGAGTCCCTGAGACTAGACCTCTGAAATTGGGACCAGCTAAGCCTTCAGGTCCTGTGTTTTGGGGAGCTGGGTGGGACCAACACACAGAATCTAACAGCCACATTTATTTCCTCTTTTCCAAAGAGATTGCGTTGAGTGCTTGCTGCTTCACTCAGGGAAACCTGACAATCAGACCTGTCAGCACCTGTGCAAGGATGAGGTGATCACGTGGGTGGACACCATCGGTGAGTGTCAAGGTGGGGACAGGGTGCCGCTGGGGGTCTCTGTAGACCCCTGAAGATTTCTTCCTCTGTGGAGAGGAGGGTGGGCTTAACCCCGAGTTAGGAAGTCCAGCCTAGGCTTCCTTGGCATGACTTCTGGTTCTGCATAGAGACCCTGAGCTGAGTCCCCAAGCCTGTAAGATGGTACAGATGCATTGGGAAATAGCTTGCAATTGGGAAATAGTTCAGCATCGAATCCCCACATAATCCAGAATTTGACTCCCAGGTCTATACCCAAGAGAACTGGGTCTACACACACACCTGCACACAAATGCCCATAGCAACATTAGTCACAGGAGTCAAAACTTGGAAACCACCCGAACGTCCACCCACTAATGAATGGCAAACAAAATGTGTCCTGTCCATGCTGTGGAATCTCATTGGTCATCAAAGGGAGTGAAAAGTTGACGCATGTGACAAGGTGGGTGAGTCTCAAAAACATTAACTAAGTGAAACAATGCCAACAGGAGAAAACATTCCATAATTCTATTTGAAATGTCCCAAAGCGAGAGAGCCTGTGGAGACAGAGTGGAGATCAGGGATGGCCAGGGACTGTGGAGAGGGAGAAATTGGCATTGACTGCTAATATGTATAGATTTCTTTTGGGGATGATGGAAGTGGTCTGGCATTAATGAGAATGGTTATATAACATGGTGAATTTACTAAAACTGACTATGTATTTTTAAAATGGTTAAAATGGAAGGAGGGAAAAAAGACTACATACCTGGAAAGTGAATGTGCCCCCAGAGACCTCTTGCTGTAGACCTGCCTCTGCCTTAACTGCAGCTTCTGCAAACTCCCGGCCCCTGCCTCTTGTCTGTCTCAGTCCTGGCTTACCTCTTGTAGACTTCCTTGTTCCCACCTCCCTGATTTTTTTTTTTTTAATTTTTAGTTGTAGTTGGACGCAATACCTTTGTAAAAAATAAAAATTAATTTATTTTTATGTGGTGCTGAGGATTGAACCCTACCACTGAGTCACAACCTCAGCTCACCCACCTCCCTGATTTTGACTGTCTGCTTGGTTAAATGATGGCCTCAGAGAATGTCAGGTCTTGTATTTATTCCACACATATTCCTTGAGCACCTACTTTATGCCAGGTGCTGATGTTATGCCTGAGGGGACAGCAGGGAGCTCACCATAGTGCCTGAGATACCATCTTCCTACCCATCCTCTGACTTGCCACTTGGGGCCTGGTATATGTCACGTTTTGCCTGCAGACCCAGGGCCAGTTCCCCAGAGCCAGACACAAGTGGTCAAAGAAGAAAAGCGGCCTTCTAGCATCTGTTGAAGTGATTATCTTGGTCCATGCACAGCTGCTTCACAATCCAGCTCTCTGAGGTGAATCAGCAGATACAGTTCATGTTCCAGCTCATCATTTACCCTTTTCCTAGGCTTTTAAAATAAACGTTTGCCCTCATGAATCCCAGGCATTGGAGAAGGGGCTGAGAGAAAAGTCCAGACCTTTGTGTTTGATAACCACACTAATGTATCAGCTCCCATGTTAAAACTCCTTTGATCCACCAGGTTCAAAGGGCAAGAGTGGAAAAGCGTTTCATGTCATAACATTAACCTTTGGTTGCTGCTCAGGCCAACCTGTGATTGCTGCCCAATTTCCTTTTCCTTTGTTTCCCTGCTCACCCTTTTTCTCTAGTCCCTTTCCCTCCTAAAGATCAGTCTTGCAGCTGGGCACCAGGGCACATGCCTGTAATCCCAGGGACTCAGGAGGCTGAGGCAGGAGGATCACAAGGGAGAGGCCAGCTGGACAACTTAGCAAGACCCTGCCTCAAAATAAAAACTACAAAGGCCCGGGGATGTGGCTCAGTGGCAGAGCTCTTGCCTAGCATTCAGGAAGCCTTGGGTTTAATCCCAGGTACTAGGGGAAAATAAAATCAGTCTTGTAACCCGAGGGAAGCCACAGAACACCATGCCTAGACAGGGGACGGCGACTCCTTCCCACAGGTCAAAGGCAGCATGGGGCAGGGAGGAAGCAGCTTAACTCTGGGGAGTGAGGCCCGCTGGTATCCAGGCCAGGGCCAGGGAATGGCCCGACCTCTACCACTGGCTCACTTAATCTTTGGATGCGGGGTCACCCAGGGGACCAGCCTTGCATTCAAATATCCTCCTCACCTCTGGAGGTTGTTTTTGGTTTTACATCTCAGGGAAGAGCTGCCTCTTGGCCTCTGTAGCCTGCTTTCAACCCAAGTGGACTGGGGGTTGGAGAGGAAGCGGTCAGGGTGGCTTTTTCTTTTCTTTATCCTCCTAATTTCCATCGACTCCCTTCACCCATTCCCACCCACACCCATTCAAGGCTGCCTTTTTTCACCTCATCCCCAGCAAACACTTCAGAGGGCTGAAGACTCTGATGTGATCCACGTGTCGCCAGAGCAATAAAGTCAACCGGGGGCCTGCAATCCCGCTGTGAGACCCCTGAACTCATTGGAAAGCCCGCCACCCCTCTCAGCCCCTCTGTCTCCTCTTCCTTCTCCGAGGTGCCCGCTCCCCGCCCTGACCACCAGCAGCTCTGGGCTGCCCAGAGACAGGCTCAGGACGTTCTGTTTGCTTTTCTTCTAGTCAAAGATGACCAGGAGGCTGTGCTTTGCTTCTATAAAACTGCCAAGGACTGCATCATGACGTTCAGCTACGCAGACCTGCCCAGTGGGAAGACCAACCTGACGGTGCTGAGGGAGCCAGGTAGGTGGGAGCCCAGCCCCTGGGTCCAGGTGTCTGATGCTGTTCCCTGCTCTGGGGCTGTGGCCCATTCCCTCCCCAGCACCCCCCTCACCATCCTTCCCAAACCCAGGAATACAGTTCACTGTGAAGATCAGGATCTAAGGCCACCGTTGTCCGATTCCTAGGGTTTAGAAGAAAGATGGGTACACAGCTGGGGGCCTGGGATGAGGGCAGAGCTGTGGGGGCAACAGGAGCCATAGTAGGGCAGGACATGCCCCTCAGGAATGTCATCTCGGCAGAGGCAGAGAGCTAATAAGGAAGGAGCCCTTGTGCTCTGCAGGGAGGGTGGGAGGTGCCAGGTCTGGCCCATCAGGGCTGGGCCCTTGCTCGAGTCAGTGAGCATCTGGGTGTGCACACTGCCCTGGCCAGCTGCTCAGGCTTCCCAGGGTGGATGCCAAGGAGGGAAGTTGGAGCGCCGCGGGCAGTGTTGCTGCTGGCCGCCACACTCAGCGTCCTGAGCCACTGCAGGGGCCCAACTTTCATTTGAACACCAACAACTCAGCCTTGCGTGTTGAGCCCAAGGACCAACAGCCTTGAAGTAACTGGGATTTCTAGATTATCTGCTTTTATTCTTCTTTGGACTGAAGGGAGCAGAAAAAGTTTTGCTCTCTTCAATTCACAGCATTGCAAACGCTTATTCCAAATTAAACCAAATCATCTCACCTACTTTCCATGGCCAGAGACCCAGGGAACTGCAGTCCCAATCCAGGACATGTGCCTGTCAGAACAAGGCTTTGTTTTCAAGCACTGTCTCTGTGGTTGTTGAAAATAAACACACTTCGGGGTAAAAATGGGAGTTCATAACTCACTTGAATCAAATGTATGAAATATGATATGTCAAGAGCTTTGTAATGTTTTGAACAACCAATTAAAACAAAAAGAAAAGAAAAGAAACACACATAATCCCAGTGGCTCGGGAGGCTGAGGCAGGAGGATTGCAAGTTCAAAGACAGCCTTAGTAAAAGTGAGACTCTAAGCAACTCAGTGAGACCCTATCTCTAAATAAAACACAAAAAAAGGGCTGGGAATGTGGCTCGGTGGTTGAGTGCCCCTGAGTTCAATCCCTGGTACCCACACCCGCCACCAAAAAAAAAGAAAAAGAAAATAAGCATATTTGATCCAAGGGGCTCCTTCACACTAAGGGTTTAGAAATGTTGGCCAGCCTGGCCCTTGTGGAAATGGTTCATGCCCCCCTTCTCTGTAGTCTGTCCCTGAGAACACGGACATGAACACTGAGCCATGGTCTAGCGTCCTGTTCTGGAGCCTGGGCAGGCCAAGGCGAGGGCGTGGTCTGTTAGGGGACGTGCAGCTGTGCCCCAGGGCTTTCATGGAGACTTTGCTGTTAACTAGCCACATGACCCTGGAACAGTCACTGTCCCTCTTTGGATCTTTCACTCTCTGCACATTGGGGAAAACTGCCCGCCCCCTGCTGTCAGTCACACAGAGGCACCAGGGGATCTAGGAGAGGGCAGAGGAGAAGGCTCTGGGGGAGGCACATCTTTCAACTCAGATGTGCCTGAGGCTGGGGGCAGGAGGGGCACAAGATGTTGGTGGCATTGCCAACCCCCCATGTTCCTGGTCTCTTTTCAGAGTGTGGGACTGCCCCCAACGCCATGACCATTTTGCTGGCCGTGGTCGGCAGCATCCTCCTGATTGGGATTGCACTCCTGGCCATCTGGAAGCTGCTTGTCACCATCCATGACCGAAGAGAATTTGCCAAGTTCCAAAGTGAACGCTCCAGGGCACGCTATGAGATGGTAAGCAGAGGGGACGGGGGCGCAGAAGAGCCTTCCAGACCGGTGGCATGTCTGAGCTCAGCCGTGTGTTAGCAAGAGTGGTCCCCTGGCATCTTTAGCATTAAAAATAAAGAAGTGACACCCACAGGGCTATGCCCAGTCTAGACAATGACAGTGCGTGACTGTAGCACAGAGGGCCTCTCTGCACAGAGTCCTGCCCCAGGCCCAGGCTGGGAGTGCTGTGGGGCAGGGTCACCTGGCACAGCTCAAGCAGAAAGAGTCCACACAGCTCAGAGAAAGTGGGCACATGGAAGAGCAGCTCAAGCAAGTTGCTATGGTCTGTTAGGAAATTCTTCTGAGGAAGCCTCGTCTCCCCAGGCAGACTGCAGGTTTGTGAAGGCCTGAGCACACGGGAAGCCCCCACTGAATCCCAGGAGAGAGTGTCTGTCACAATTGGAAAGGGCTTTCAGAGACTCTATGACCCAATGCCTCATTTCAGAGACAAAGAGTAAAAGTTCAGAGAAGGCAAGGGACTCTCCCAGGGATACAGAGCAAGTCAGAAGCAGAGCCAGCCCTAGAGCACAGATGGTGGCCCCCCAGCTGCATGCTCTGCCTGCCCCCTTCCTGGTGACTGACCATGAGGGGAAGGGCATCTAGTTTGTTGTTTTACATGGGAGAACTAACACAAGTCCTCTTACCGTCACACCCTGCAGGCTTCAAACCCCCTCTACAGAAAGCCCATCTCCACTCACACTGTGGATTTTACCTTCAACAAGTTCAACAAATCCTACAACGGCACCGTAGACTGACAGCGCCCCCTCCCAGAGAGGTACAGAGGGACTAACAAAAAAGACTGCCAGACCTGGACAGCTGCTCACGTGATCACGGCTCCCTAGATAGGCAAGCACAGAGAAGCCCTTCCGGCCAGCCTGGGCAAGGAGCCCACCACCTGCCCAGGAGGGCGCCTGGCCATGCCACCTGGCTGCTGGGCCAGAGCCACGCAAGGCCACCTCCCCTCCAAGCCTGGAAAAACAAGAGGACTTGGCGCTCCTGGCTTTCTCCGCCATGTCCAGCGTCTTGTCCTGATGAACTGCTGGGATGCTGGGCTGCTTCTGCCTCCCTCGCTGGCCAGAGAGAAGGCTACCGGGAAGGGCCAGAGTGTACAAAGCCAACCTGTGGCCTGAATTTTTTTTCCCGTTGGTCATTTTTATATGTAATAAAAAGATCATGCATTTATGGCGTAGTTCTGAGGGCTGGGAATCCTCCGCCTGGTGTCGTGCCCTGCACATGGGTATTGGTGATGGATTGTTAGGTGCCTGTTGAAGGTACATAGTTTGCGAACGTCTGTTTTCCTCTCCTGTCTGTGTTTGTTTAGTACTTTTGTAATGAAATGGAAAAAGATTGTCTGCAATTGAAAGTAAAGATTCAAACAAAATGCGCTGGTGTCTGCCTGATGCTCTCTGACATGTGTGTTCCTTAATGAATGGTCTTGACTGCTGCCCCAGTGACAGGGACCCTAGCCAGCCTGATACTCCAGAGCAGGCTCCTCAGAGAGGGCTCCCTGAGGTCAGAAAAGTCAGGGTAGCTCAAGGGAGCTCTGAGCAAGTGCCTCTGGTCCCTCCCAGGTTTTGCTCAGAGTTGTAGACATGAAAACCACCACTCGGGCATGAAACTCACCACCCACCCCCCATTCTGTCCTGTTCTGTTCTAAGGTGCTGAAACTGGAAATAGAAGGTACAGATGACAAAGGGTCAAGCTATGCCTTCCTCCCAAAACTACCTCTTATATATCATCCTCAGTGACATTTCCCCCACCCAACTCCTATGTTCCGCCCAGACCCCAAACACAAAACTCATTTCCACTTTTGTTTCCTGTAGAGTCCTAAAGGCCCCTCAGATTCCGTCAGAGATGGACGGGACCCCAGAGGTCTTCTGATCCTATAGCCTTACTTACAGAAGAAGAAGCCGATTCACAGAGAAGGCGAGTGTCTTGCCCAAGTGTCAGGCTAACTGTGACAATCTGGCACTAAGACCCCTGGCTCAAGATCATCCAAAGTGGCAGCCTCTGATGCCTGCTCTTCCCTCCACAAACCTCTTCACTGATCATTTTTGCTGTTTGTGTCACTTCAAGGCTACTATGCCTTTGTTCCTAATTCATCTGTTCTCCGTCTTGGACTAAATTCCCCTGACTTCATTTTACCAAGGCTAAGACAAATGCCTGTCAGCCAATAGGGCTGATTACATGGAGCAAAAAGAGCAGATTCCTTTTTTATTGTACATCATAATTATGCATAAGAGTGGAATTCATTATGCCATATTCACATGCACATTACGCAATTTGATCAATCTCATTCCCCAGTAGTTTTTCTTTCCCTTCCATCCTGCCTCCCCCATCTGATTGATTGCTCCACTCTACTGATTGATCTCCCTTCCATTAATGTTTTAATTATTACATTACAATTATACAAGTGAGATTCATTGTATCATGTTCACACATGGACGTAGCATAGTTTGGGAGATTTCATTCCCCAGGACTTCCCTATGACCTCCCCTCCTCCCTCCTCCAACCTCTTCCCCTATTAGTTTCCTTCCTATTTTCATGAGATCCCTTTTCAATTCCTTTGTCGTCTTCTTCTTTTCTTCTCCCACATGTGAAAGAAAACATTTGACCCTTGACTGAGTCTGGCTTATTTCACTCAGCATGATGTTCCATTCATTTACTAGCAAATGACATCATTTCTTATTTGTGGCTGAGTAAAACTCTATTGTATATCTATACACCACGTTTTCTTTCTTTTTAAAAATATTTTATTTATTTCTATTCTTTATTAATCTGTTGAGGGACACCTAAGCTGGTTCCATAACTTGACTATTGTGAATTGTGTTACTGTGGACACTGAGACGCATAGATCACTATAGTATGCTGATTTTAGATCTTTGGAATCAAATGAGCTGGATGGCTGGGTCATATGGTAGTTTCATGCCTCATCTTTTGAGGAATCTATCACTGTTTTCCAAAGTAGCTATACTAATTTGCAGTCCCACCAACAGTCTATGAATGTACCTTTTCTCCCACATCCTCACCAGCAATTATTGTTATTTACATTCTTGATGATTGTCATTCTAACTGGAGATGAAATCAGTGTAGTTTTGATATGCATTTCCGTGATTGCTAAGGATGTTGAATAATTTTTCATGTATTTGTTGGCCACTTATATTTCTTCTTTTGAGAAATGTCTATTCTTTTGCTCATTTATTGATTGGTTATTTGGGGGGGGGGGTTGGCATTAAGTTTTTCAAGTTCTAATTATACTCTTGATATTAATCCCCTGTTGGAAGAGTAGGTGACATAGATTTTCAGCTCTCTCTTCACTCTTAATCATTCCCTTGGCTGTGTAGAAGCTTTAAAATTTGATGGCATCCGATTTAGTGATTCCCAAAAGAACATATTCTTACTTTCCTTGCTCTTGAGAACTTGAGGAAGCTGCCTTAAGTGCTGTTCAGTATAAAGATAAATGTAATGAAAATATACAACAGATAGATAAAATGGTAACTTTGAGGCTTTCTACATTGAAAAAGATGATCTTTTAAAAAAATTTTAGTTGTAGTTGGACACAATACCTTTATTATTTTTTATTTATTTTTATGTGGTGCTGAGGATAGAACCCAGGGCCTCACACATACTAGGCAAGTTCTCTACCACTGAGCCACAACCCCAGCCCAAGATAGATGATCTTTTAAGCAGCTTTGGGGCATCTCCCAAAGATGTTGTGGATTTCCTGGAGATAAAACATTAACTTGTTCAAAGTCCCATTTTCTATAGGCAGCTCTGTGTGTGCACAACATTCTGGAGCCACATACCCTATGGCAGCTCCCTCTGTATTAGAAGGTCAGATAACTGACCCCTGGTTTCTACCTGATATGGAATTTTGGGTGTTTCATCCCAACACCAGGAAAGATGTGTGGATGGGACCTACTACCCACAGTGCCCTGCTGCCCCCTGCTGGAAGCTCTCTGTTTGGACCCCTGACTTTTGAGATTCTAATCAGTACCATTACGTTTCACTTTTTTTGAGGGAAGAGGGGAGTGCTGTGTGTGGTACTAGGGATGGAATTTAGGGCTTCACACATGCCAGGCAAGTGCTCTCCCACTGAGCTACATCCCCAGCCCTCATTTCTTAAGGTTATAAAGAGAGCTAATTGCAAAGACCATCCATTCCAAATGACTCATTTTACAACCCAACCCTAGATCTATAGTTTTATAATTTTTAGAGATATTTATCAAAATGTAACTTTAGGCCTGGTATAATGGCACATACTGTAATCTCAGCAATTTAGGAGGCTGAGGCAAGACGATCACAAGTTCAAGGCCAGCCTCAGCAACTTAGCAAGGCCCTAAGCAACTTAGACACAGTCTCAAAATAAAAAGATCTGGGGATATAGCACAGTGATAAAGCACCCTGGGTTCCAATCCCCTGTACAAAAAAAAAAAAAGTACCTTTCTTTAGCAGTTATTTGGCCAGTCTCCCTGCCATAACAACACAAGATGATGGAGCTCCTCACAGTGGGCTGCAGGGCTCTCCCCAGCGGGGGACTGACACTGCCCTTCCTATTTGTTTCTGAACTATGGAGACACACAGATTGGAGGGAGCCTTCTATTGCAGAGGGAGCTGCCATTGTGCCACATGACCCTGAAGGACCACCTGGCAGTCTCAGAAAAAAAAAAAAACAACATTTTTCTAGTGTCTGAAAAGATTAAAAAGCACTGCATTTACTACATATTTCCAAATGGTAATTTTATTGATTGATTTTTATTGATTGATTTGAACAACTTGCTTTTTTTTTTTTTTTTTTGCTACCAGGGATTGAACCCAAGGCTACTTGAGCACTGAGCCACATCCCCAGCCCTTTTTGTTTTTTATTTTGAGACAAGGTCTCACTGAGTTGCTTACAGCATAGCTAAGTTGCTGAGGCTGGCTTTGAACCTGATCCTCCTGCCTCAGCCTCTCAAGGCACTGGGATTACAGGTGTGCATCACCACACCTGGCAACTTACTGAATTTTTCTAATAATAAAATTCTAGATGGAAAAATAGCAAACAGAGAAAATCATAAAATAAAAATATTTCAGAATCACACCCCCCAGGGGTAACTACTCTTGACCTTAGCTATAATTTCAATCTTTAGTATTAAAGTCTTGGTCTCTAGCTCGGCATTATTGGGAGCTGGTGGCAACTTTAAAAGTTGGAGCCTACTGTGAGGACTCCCAGTCATTGGGGGGTGCACCCTGAAGGACCCCAGCTCTTCTGCTCTCTCTTTCCTTCTAGCCATGAGGCGAGCGCTGTCCCACCACACACTCCTGCCGTGATCTGCTGCCTCACTGCAGGCCCAAAGCAATGGGCCAATCGGTCACGCACTGACACCCCCAAAACCATGAGCCCAAATAAACTTTCTCACTTATTGAGTACCTTGGGTATTTGTTAGAGTAGTGGAAAGCTGACTAACACAACCTTTTTTTGTAGATGGCTTTTCAGTCTTTTTTCTATACGCAAACTTGTCATTTTTTACCCAATTGGGACTATACTGTCCGTCTTTTGAAAAGGACAGGGAATTGTCATTCTGCTTGGTTAAACAGTACTTCATCAAACCAAAGTACCCAATAGCACCTCTTCTGGAGAAGAAATGGACTTTTAAAATTTGCTTCATTGGGATCAAAGTTCAAGTTGTTACCAAGAACTTGTCCATATTTCAGATGGACAGAGAGGGAGGCCAGGCCTCTCTCTGTGGGAGTGCTCTGCACTTTTAACTGAGTAGCTGTTCTTGGAAAACTTCCAGCACATGTGGCTCTTACCTGCTCCTGGGACAGCCTCATACACTCTGCTGCTGTTATGGACTGAATTGTCCCTCAACTTCATACATGAAGCTTTAACCCCAGATGTGATGGTATCGTGAGGTAGGACCTTTAAAGAAGGAATTGAGGTTAAATGAGGCCATAAGATGGCGCCTCATTCCAACACAACTGGTGTGTTTATGGGAGGAGGAGGCGCCAGGGATGCAGAGGAAAGACCCCGCTAGGACACAGTGAGGGGGCGGCTGTCTGCAGCAGCGAGGTCTTAGGAGAAATCCTATGTGCTGCTGCCTGATCTTGGACATCCAGCCTCCGGAACTATAAGGAATGAATTCCCATTGTAAGACATCAGGCCATGGTAAGTGGTGAGGGCACCTGAGCAGACTGAAACTGAGCCAGCTGCAGTGGCACTTTGTGATGGCTGAGGGAGCAGGAAAGAGGAGCTCTGGGCAGTGCTGGCCATGATCTGAGGAATCTGGGCTCCTATGAGGGGCAGCCACCATACTACAGAGGCAGATGACACAGATGTGCCCCGAGCAGTCCACCACCTGGCACCTGCAGCCAGTTGTAAGCACTCAGAGTGGCCTGTCACCCTGGCAGTGAGCCATTCTGGCCCCTCTGAGAAGGCTCTGCAGGCTGCAGGGCTGAGCTAGGTCAATCCCACTTGGCTTCCTGTCTCCTTTCTCTGGGGCCCCTCCGGGCCCTCTGGGGGACTTGGACTAGAGCAAGAGGACAGGAGGTTAAGGCTGAGCTGCCTGAGGAGCAGTCCTGCCAGGCCTGAGGTGCTGCCCGGGGAGCTGGGCTTGCTGCTGTGGGAGGGACAGGTGGGAGCAGGGACAGAGGTCACTGCCTGGCCAGCCCGGCTGACAGAGTCACTCCCCAGATAGGTTGGATGACATGTCACATGAGAAGGCCTTCACTTTGGATTCATGTCTTGTGGGGTTTAATGCCACAGAGTCCCCCTGCCCTGTGACTGGTGCTGCGTATCGTCACACAGTGGGACCCGCGTGCCCTGGCCTGTTGCTGTCTGGATTGTTAGGGAGCTGGGAGCTCCGTGTTTTCGATGTTCCAGAGACTGTTCATATGGTGGGGACTACAGAGAAAGGACTGTGTGTTCTTTGTCCTCTCTGCCAAATGCTGACCCACATGCTGTCCCAGCATTCCCCTCTCTGTGTAGCTTTCTGATCCTCTGACAAATGTCCTGCTGCACAACTTCATTTTAAGGTGCTTCAAATTCTTGTTGCAAAAAACAAGACACAGCTGGGCTCAGTGGTGAAGGCGTATAATCCCAGCGGTTCAGGAGGCTGAGGCAGGAGGATCGCAGGTTCCAAGCCAGCCTCAGCAACTTAGTGAGACCCTATCTTAAAATTAAAAAAATAAACAAATGATAAGAAGGGCTGGGGATATGGGTCAGTGGTTTAGTGCCAAAACAACAAAGTACAAACTATACGGGAACCAACCATCAACACCAGAAACCTCGGTCTCCTTCTGAGGTAGCGGCTTTCAACTTTTTGTGTCATGGATTCCTTTGGTGTTCTGGTGAGTGCTGCATACCCCTTATCAGAATAAACCTTACACGTGTGTAATAGGGAGGATACTAAAACATCCAGCCTCTTTCTCAGGATTATCATCTTGTTGATTTCAAAATCATCCCAGAAGCCTCACCAGTTAAACTTGGTCCCACCCAAAATCCAGGTCCAGTTCAAGGAATGTTTCTACTTTAAAAACTGAAGAAGGCTGAGCACAGGGTGCACGCCTGTAATCCCAGTGGCTCTGGAGGTTGAGGCAGGATGATCCCGAGTTCAAAGCCAGCCTCAGCAACTTAGGGAAGCCCTAAGCAACTCAGGGAGACCCTGTCTTTAAAAAATTTAAATAGGGCTAGGGATGTAGCTCAGTGGTTAAGTGCCTCTGGGTTCAATCGCAGGTACCAAAACAAAACAAAAACCCTGAAGAAGATAATTGACACGAACTTCATGATTCCTGGAACAAAACCTGAATACTTCAGACTCTTCTCCATGGAGGAGGAGACAGGTTGGCCTGGGCCCTGGTGGTGGGCCTGTTCGGCTAGCCTGGAGGCGCTCACACGTGTGCTGGCTGCAATTCATGTCCTGACACAAATCAGAAATAATTTTTTTTTTTAAAAAAAGCACACACTGAACAAAACATGCAGCTAACTAAGGGCCGTCTGGGCGGTACCGCAAGTGAGCAGCTCTGCGTGGGCAAACAAACTGGCACAGGACCAGGGAAGACAGGGAGGCCAGGGAGGCTCAGGCTCCTCCTCCAAAGCACCTTTTCAGCTCAAACCACCAGGGCTGCAGGCTTGATTAAGTAGGGATGCTGGATGGATTTGAAGTTTAAAAGGAGAAAAGGCAACAGAAGAAAAAGGTGACACTGTAGCCCAAGAGTAGAAGTCAGAGGGTACAGCAAGCTGGTGGGGTGAGGGAAGAAAAGAGAGGGGAAAAGGGAGATTAACTAGGACAGACACCTCCCCAACTTCCAGTGGATGCCTGAAAGTGCAGATACCAAATTCCATGCACATATAAAACTATAATAAAATTTATTTTATAAATAAGGCTGAATTTGTAATTGATATATATAAATTAATGATACAGATTAGTGATAGAGTAGATTAGTTAGAATTATTAAATAGAACAATTTTAACAATAAATATATAAATAATAAAATAATATATAAATAATAGAAGTTATGTTATATATCTGAAAATATCTTCTTGTGCTGTATTCACCTTTCTTATAATTATGTGAGATGATACAATACCTGCGTGATGAAGTTAAGTGAGGTGAATGATGTAGGTATTGTGATGTAAGGTTAGCTTGCTACATAAATGTTACTTGGACACAAGCATTGGGATAGCACAATAGTCGATCTGATAACCAAGACAACTACTTAGTAACTAACAGAAGGGTAGCATATACAGGGTGGATATGCTGGACAAAGGATTGATTCATATCTCAAGCAAGACACACAGTACAGTGTGAGATTTCATCATACCTCTCAGAATAGCATGCAAATAAAACTTGGGAGTTTATTTTCTGGAGTTTTCCATTTAATAGCTTTAGACCACAGCTGAATGCAAAGCCATGGACAAGGATGCTGTTTTTCCTGATCAAATTTCATGAGGCAAATATGAAACTTTAGGCCACTCATTCAGGTTATGAAGATATAATTCTATGTTTGTTTGTTTGTTTTTAAACTCAGCATCATCTCTACTTCAAGTATCTATTCAAATGATGGCAGAAAACATGTTACTAGGTTACAGGTAAACAGGGACAGCAGGCCTGTGGGCTGCTAAATGCAGGGAGACGGTGCCTGGTGAGGACATGGGAGCTGGGGCATGAAGCCTGCGCACTGACGCTGGTTAACATGCTCAGTCCTCATGAGAACCTTGTTGTCTAGTCCATTCCACTCTCCACAGAAGAGTCCTGGCTTGAGGGTTGGGAGACTCAGTTCCTCGAGGTGTGTTTCTCAACTAACTTCCATGCTCCTTTCAGGGACACTGGGAGATGCAACTTCTCTGTCATGTCTCTCTAGAGTCACAGGAAGCTCAGGCCTCCTCAGGCTCTGCCTCAGATACAAAGACAAACTTTGTGCCCACTGCCCTGCCCCAACCTGGGTAGGGTGGGGGAGTGGTCTCTGGACCTTGACTGCTTTCCTGGGCCCCTCTTAGAAAAGCCAGGCATGGGCCTCCTCTGCCATCATTCCCACATTTACTGCGCTCTCCCTCCCTGGGGTTCAAAGATCACAGCACATTCTGACCCTTAGGTTCCCTCTGTCCCTTGTTCCTCTCTCCAGTGCAGAGAAAGATTCCACCCCCCACCCCACCCCGGGTTGCAGGAGACAGGGCTAGGCAAGTGTTCTTCAAACCAGTACTTTCTCCAAAACCTTGAACTTTCAACATTAAAACATACTCAACTATTTCGTTTCTCTTTGTGTTTCTATTGTGGCCTCCCTTTCCTGAGGCTCAAAGGCCAAGTATGAACTTGGAAAGGTTATGAAGAAAACAAAGGGATTACAAGAGCCCCCCGCCCCCCCAAAAAAATCACTTAATTCATACAAGGCCAGATTACAAATGTTAAAAACCCTGAGCTCTAAAAAAAGAAAAATATGTCACCCCCACATCCTGTAATCCAAAATAAAATCAGCACTTAATAAAAACAACATGAATCATAAAATAAAGAACACCAGTGAGCCCTGATTTTTCCATGCTTTTTTGTTTTTAATATTTGATTCCTTCAAAAAGGAATTTCTTCCTGGCACTGATGGCATGGTAGCGTATTCACCTGTTAAGGGCAAAGGAATCAAAGTCAAGAGTGTGTGGAGTCATCCACTGTCATTTTCAATGATTGACACTGGGTTCACCATGGAGACTCAGGAGTCCCACAAGAGCCAAATGGCTGTTTCATTGACAGATCACTGGAAGCAGCCAGAAGCAAAGGCTGAAGGAAGGCTGACTGACTTTTTTGAACGGTTTTTGGCTTCCTGGTAACCAGGAGGCTACAGCACATGGCTAGATGCATTTAAGAGGATGCTGCTGCATAACAAGCCACCCAAATCTGTGGCATGCAGTGATCAGCACTTATTACCATGCTCACAGCCACAGATCTGCCTGGGCAGCAGGCCTGTGAGGTCACAGCAGGCCCTGCTCTACCTTCCTCTCCTTTCCTGGAGATGGGGCTGACCAGGGCACGCTCTTCTCATGGTGTGGTGGAAGTCAAAGAGGGGTGAGCAGACACACAAGAGCTTGGACTCAGAACAGGTACCCTGTGACTTCCACCCACACACTGTTGGTCTATAGTGGCACCTCCCTCCTCCACAGAAAATCTTAATTAAGTTTTTCCAGAAATCCACCACACCATAATTGGTCTAAAGACCATCAGCAAAAGAATCCCTACAAAAGAGTTCAATGTAGTTAACTTCCTATTTCCTGTTGCTGTATTTTACAACAATGAAATTTGGCCATGGGCCTGAAAGAGATCAGCATTTCAGTTGCTGAACACCCCTTTACTAGTTTTTCACACACATTTATGTACTATCTAGTACAGTAACTATATATATAATAGTTTGTGAAAGTTTTCAAGGAGGAA